TATATATATATATATATATATATATATATATATAGAGAGAGAAGAGAGAGAGAGAGAGAGAGAGTATATAGTAATAGTAGTAGTAGAGTATAATATATGTTAAATTACTACTTTTTGTGTCACACAAACACACGACCTGAACGCGAAAAGTTATGTGAATAAGGATCTATTTATTTTGCAAAAATGTTTCCACATGAATACCGCAAGAACAACGCGTGCCACATATACAAGTCAATTAAAACAATTAAGAATATCAATCTATCAATCTTTCACCCTGCATTATGAAAACCAACGCCGCGTCACGCGTGATGCTGACGTCACGCGATGCTAACGACGTAATTAAAATATAGCGCGATGCGACGACCTGACGACACCCCACAGGGGGCGCTGTCGCTGACGACACCCCACAGAGGGCGCTGTCTCTAACCACACCCCACAGAGGGCGCTGTCGCTGACGACACCCCACAGAGGGCGCTGTCGCTGACGACACCCCACAGAGGGCGCTGTCGCTGACGACACCCCACAGAGGGCGCTGTCGCTGACGACACCCCACAGAGGGCGCTGTCGCTGATGACACCCCACAGAGGGCGCTGTCGCTGACGACACCCCACAGAGGGCGCTGTCGCTGACGACACCCCACAGAGGGCGCTGTCTCCAACCACACCCCACAGAGGGCGCTGTCGCTGCCGACACCCCACAAAGGGCGTTGTCGCCGAACACACCCCACAGAGGGCGCTGTCGCTGACAACACCCCACAGAGGGTGTTGTCGCCGAACACACCCCACAGAGGGCGCTGTCGCTGACGACACCCCACAGAGGGCGCTGTCGCTGCCGACACCCCACAGAGGGCGTAGACAGCAGTAGAATGGACCGACGACGACGACGACATCTCTCATTGGCTCGCCGCCTCGCTATCTCTCCGCCAATCCATCCATCCATCGTCGTCTCATTGAATACGCAAATTTTACCGATTCACCGATCTTTTGATCGTCCGATTAGAAAACAACACATCGATACAACACATCGTCATGCAAAATATGTCGCGAATTGATTTACCCTCCACCCTCGAGATGCTAACTACCGCCACAATTCCGATCTGACGAAAAAGTCCATCTAGGGCTGGATGAAGCAATATTTCCCTATATTGCTAATGATGCCGCGATTTTGACATCACATGTATGATGTCACACCGATGACATCACATGTATGACGTCACACCAATGACATCACACCAATGACATCACATCAATGACATCACACCGATGACACCACATCAATGACATCATATGTATGACGTCACACCGATGACATCACATCAATGACATCACATCAATGACATCACACCACCAGGTAGATACGCACAACAACAGAGACAAACATTTTTAATCCTCCATGGCTATACGCAAGCTAATGTCCTATGCTAGAGAGGGAGGGTAGAGAGAGAAAGAGATGGAGAGAGATATGGAGAGAGAGAGAGAGTGGAGAGAGAGCTGCTGCCGCTGCTAGCTACTGTCTGCTGCTGCTGGCTGCTGCTGCTGGCTGCGGCTGCTGCCTGCTGCTGCTGCTACTGCGCTGCTGGCTGCTGCTGCTAACTGCTCGCGCTACTACTACTGTTACTCGCTTGCTTAGCTGCTGCTCGCTGCAGGCCATCGTTTATTAGGGCTAAACCAATCCGTTTTAATGTGAGAGATAACGAGCTCTGCCTCCCTCCTTACAGTATTAGCTCTCATCTCCGCGAAGATCAGGCTGGCGCCGACGCTATTATACGCGACACCTGAGGAGGCAGACCAAACAAGGTGTGTATATGCAAGGGATGAGGAGGTAGGGAGGCGAGGGAGAAAGGTGGCTGCTGTTATGACTGGATTTCGGGAGGGTGTGCGGCCCTGGATAGGTAAAAGTTTCCGGCGCTAGAGAAATCGCACATTAGCACTTGACACAGGCAAACCGTTTGAACTACGATAAACAATGTATTTTGTAACGCTTTGTTTGTACTTATGTCGCCAACAGATGAGCAGACACGTAGACCATTAGAGGCTCCACAACCACGCTTCTCGATTGTTTTGGCTAAAACTCTCAACTGTTCGACCGCTAACAGGCGATAACCGAACGGTCGAATTCCGAGAAAAGAAATTGAAATGCCGACCTGCGTACCCAATTACATATTATCATATTGATTTTACTTCACATAAAAAACAAATCACAAAAATTATCGCTAAGATCCGCGACCGCACTTTTCTCGATTTCAGTCGGAAGACACGCGCGATGATGAGAGATGACGATGACGATGACAATGACGATGACGATATCATGATGATAGACAGATGATGATGAAATGTACGATGACCGGAGATGAGCGATTAGAACGGAATGAGATGATGAGACAGATGATGATGATGATGAGAACGGTGATGATGATGACCGGCGTACTTTCAATCTGCTCACGCAGGAGTACACAAAGCTAAGAGCGTTCAGGCCGTAGCCAACCACAGGAAAGTGCGTACTTCGGCAACTGACATTACCCACAATGCTCATGCGACAGTCAGAATGGCCGGAGGACACGTCGCCGCGGGCAACTCGTCGCCGGCGGCAGACCGCCTCCACGCGGCCGACGGTAGAAAAGCAGCGGCGGGGCGATGAATGAGGGACCACCGGGCGCGGCGGAGCCACCCGGCACAGCGGGGAGCACGGGCGGCGGCGAGGGGAGCCACCGGGCGCGCGGGGACCACTCCGGCACGGTGGGGGAACGCACCGGCGCGCGGGGGCCAGCTTGGAGCCACGGCCGTGGGGGCGCGGCGGAGCACCGGGCGGCCGGGAGTCCCACCCGGGCACGGTGGGGGCCGGCGGGCGAGCCACCGGGCGGCGCGGGGGCGCGCGGGCCAACCGGGCGCGCGGGGCGAGGCCACCGGGCACGGTGGGGGCGCGGCGGGGAGCGCCACCGGCGCGGCGGGGAGCCACCGGGCCGGGTGGGGGGCGCGCGGGGAGCCACCGGCGGCCGGCGGGGCCGGCCGGGGAGCCACCCCGGGCGCTGCGGGGGACCACCGGCGGCGGGCGGGGGGGGGGCACCACCCGGGCACGGTGGGGGCGCGGTCGGGGAGCCACCGTGCCGCGGGCGGGAAGCCCACCGGGCGCGGCGGGACCACGCCGGCGCGGCGGGAGCCACACCGGACGCGCGGGGACCACCGGGCACGTGGGTCTCGTCATGGGAGCCAACGGGCGCGCGGGGACCACCCGGTGCGGCGATGGGCCGTGTGGGTGGGTTGTGCAGTAACATGTAGCATGTTGGGCAATTTCCTAGAGAGGTGTTGTTGCAGCTGGTGGGTGGCACGTAGAAATATTGTGAAGGCTAGATAAATCCGTATATAATACTGACATTGTTGTCCTTTCCTCCTCTTGCCGCTGGCTGGGTTTCTCTGCCATGTGTCTTTCTCTCTCCTCACTCACTATCTCTGTTTGGCTTGCTTACTTGTGCGCTCTCTCTTTCTCTTTTCTATTTGTGACTTCTTTCGCTTTTCCTTTCCTCTTTTATTTTCATTTCTCTCTAACCATCATTTTTCTTTGTTTGTTAATAAACTCTCTCTCTTTCTCTCTCTCTCCTTTCCTTTCCCTTTCCCTTCCCTATCCATCTCTGTCTCTTCTCTCTCTCTCTCTCCTCTATTTCTGCTCCATCTCCTCTCTCTCTCCCGAGCATCTCTTCTCTATCTCTCTCCCCTCCTCCTCACATCCCTCCTCACTTCCTTCTCCTCTCTCGTCTCCATCTCATCCCTCATCCCTCTCTCGTGCTCTCTCCATCTCTCTGCTCTCTCCCATCTCTCTCTTTCTCCGATCATCTCTCTTCTCCATCTCTCATCTCTCTTCATAACTTCCTCCTCTCGTCTTCACTTCTCTCCTCCTCTCCTCTCTCTCTCTCTCTCACTCTCGCCTCTCTCTCTCTCTCTCTCTCTCTCTCTCTCGTCTCTCTCTCTCCCTTCTCTCTCTCGTCTCATCTCTCATCTCTATCTCTCCTCTCTCTCTCTCTCTTCTCTCTCTCCTCTCTCCTCGTCTTTCTCTCATCTCCTCTACTCGTCTCTCTCTCTCTCATCTCTCATCTCTCGCATCTCTCTCTCTCTCACACTCTCCTCCTCTCTCTCCTCCCCCTTTCTCTCCCATCCTCTCTCCTCTCTCCACTCTCTCTCTCTCCATATC